AATTATAATCTACAGTTTGATACCAAACTTATTGACATAAATTCATGAAATAGTAGTTCAATAACATTTTGATGACATGGTCTTTCACCCATGACCCGTCTGGAAAGGGTTAAAGGAAGTCAAGATGCAATGAGCTGATACTGACCAAGTTAGAGGAAAATTGCTTTAAAAGAAAACTAAAAAGGGAAGTTAACACTAAATTGTATTTTCCATATTACTAGTGATTATTGCTAGAAGGGAAGATGTGCAAATTAATTTTTTCTCCATATCAGGTTCCTGAAAGTTTTTAGATCTTTTGATTTAGGTTACTCTACAAAAAAGATATTTTTTGAAAAGTTGTATTGATTAGAAACTATTAACAATAATTAAAACTATAAGTTCAAGTCATTAGCAATAGCTCAATGTTTAATTGACAATCTGTTGAAGTTTCTCCAGCAAGAAGCAACATTCCTGTAAGTTAAAAAATAACAAGTGCAAAAATGATTTTCAGTCAATTATTACAAATAATGAGTATAAAACAATTCAATATAAATAATGTGAAAGGTTTCAATTCAGTTAAATTCCATAATTTTGTAAGACATTAAAATTCAAAAAATAATCTTCTCAATAAAGCATGACTGACCTTCTGAATTTCTCAAGTTTTTGAGCAGCTGAAATTTCTGTCACTTGTCCACTAGGTATTTCTTCTTCTAACCATGCCAAAAATTCACAAATAGCTATTGCATCTTTTATCTGTGTAAATAAGACAGAAATTTACATTTCAGTCAATTTTTTCTATTCCAAAAGGTTTTTACTAACTATTTTAAGCATATCAATATATCTTATTAAATATTTTTTACCAAAAAATTGTTTCTTTAAAGTCATGTCTTTTGTACTGAAATATTTCAAGTTGTCACTAAAAGTCACCTTAAATAGATTTATTAAATCTAGTATTATATTTTAAAATTTACTGCATTTATCCTTTTTCTTTGTAACTACTTCGGACCAAAATAAGTACAAATATGCACAAAATATATAAGTCAACTTATACAGATAATACTTTGTTTCAAATATTTTGCACAACAACAATAGCTACATAAAATAACTTCATAAAAAACATCTTAATACTATATTCAGTACTTCTATGAACTCTTAACCTTAAAAATACTACTGTACAATGCTTTCCTTACTAGGACTTCTAATACAAGCAATTTTTTTATCCAAAGTATATCTTTTTATTCCAAAATAGAAACTAGACCTAAAAATAAATAAACTTATATTACTCTCACTGTTTACTATGCTTATAACTATTCACTACTAGTAACATTAGTAATAAAATCAATCAGAAAGCCTACAACATCATTACGAGTTATAATTATTAGGCTATAAACCAATGATTTCAAAGCGAATATCTTTATTTCTAATAATGAACAATATGGAATTAAAAACAGTTAAAAACAAATTATAATTGTATTTTAAAAAAAATTACAAAGTGTATACCTAAATTTATCTTTAAGTATTCGGAAACAGGATACTTATATTTAATTGTTTTTAATGTTACCTTTTATACAATCATGGCACTTGTAGTTACAGTTATTTTGGTTATCAACAATACGAATAACATCTTTCTCATGAGTATTCTAATGTCCAGACAATAAAAAATCGATTCTGCACCAAGTCTACAAGTCTGCAGGTGTTCTAAGCAATACTAAGTAACTTTGATGAAAGGAAAACAAATCTTTAAAGCCAAGACACATTGTTAAAATGTCTGAATGAAGTCAAGGCACAAACATTTTACCATGGATGTTCAAAATTAGTAACAACAACAGTTACTTAGTAGTTTTGCTATAATAAACATTAGACAAGCAAGTTTATTGGCAGTGGGAATCAAACCCGAGACACTCAAATTAGTGGGAATTGCCCCCCCTCATTATGTAGTTTTTTTTGGTTAATGAAAAGACATAATGTCAACATTTCAATTACTTGAATATTTTCATGGTAGTCAATTTAATCATAACTTTGATTAATTGATAGTTGGAATAATTGAAAACAGCAAAAAATGGAAACACTAATTTTGATTATTTTCATGACATTCATTGATTAATCAATTAGTTTATGAGACACTTATCAATGTAACTGCTGCTCATAGATAATCTATTACATCACCCAACTCTACATTTGATATGAATATTTATTTTTATTACTCATTTTTAAGACAGAGAAAGGCACATATTAACCCTATAAGACTTGGCACCATTTTTAAATTCCTTTCTTTATTGGTACTGTATTACATTCAAAATTTAATTAAACCACTATACTATCAATGTATTTCAATGAAATTATTGTTATGAAGTATGTTATAATTCAAAGTTTTATTCCTTTATTTCAAAAAGAAACATCTAAAACTGCAATTAAAACTGCAGTTTTTCATGTCATGTGATCCACTCGCAGCTGCAATTTTTCAGCTTTAACAGCTGGTAGAGAAGAAACTGTGTGTTTAGAATGCAGACACTTTCTTCAGATGGCCAAAGTATACATTACAGATGTTTTACATTACTTTCTCAAGCCCTTTAGAAGAATTTCTCTCTCAAGTTACAAGGTGGGTGTAACACCTGTCAGGGGTTGAAACAATTTATTACTTGTTTCAGTTCAGAAAACATTGAAATGTACAAGTCAAAAGGTTAAGTAAGCATCTTATAGTCTAGACACATATCTACACAACTGCCATTGTATTATTGGAGATACAGAGTGTCAAAGTAGAGAATTTTCATAGCTTGCTAGTCAGGTGAAAATACATCTGAAGTTTTAAGTAGTTTTTAAGAGGTTTCTTTTGAAATAAAGGATGTAAAACTGAAGCAACATTAAACTTTGAATTGTAACATACCTTATAATGTTAACTTCATACATTGATAGTAAAGATGTTTAATTACATTTTGAATGTAACATAGTTACTTCTATATAAAAGCATTTAAAGGGGCACCTGTTACAAAAGAGTTATGCAGGGAAAGTAGACACAGCATGATTAACTACACAATTATCCATGGAAGCTAATATGTATATTTATAACAAAACTTAAATTCTAAATCAAAAACAATATTAAATAGTCATTAATTCATAGCATCATGCAATATCATGTCATTTTCAAATTGAAGACATAACTGGGTAATGCTGAATACAACAAAGTACTTGGGGAGAAGAGTTAACAAAAGTATAAAATGGGACTGCATCCAGAATCTTACATGTGCTTGTCTCACACATTCAATCTCCACATCATTCTTCACTGCCTTCTTTAATAGAACAGGATTTGGTGCTTTTATCCAGCGACTCTGTGTTCAATTAAAGTTAAAACTATACATACAAGTCATAGGATATTTTATAAACAAGTAATGTTGACTGCTGTTTATGAATCTACTTTATAGCCAACATCCATACAACTGGTGACACATTATGTTATATAATAATAAAGAGAATGAATACTTGTAATAACATTACAACTTTAAAAAATTATTTCTTACAAACATAAAGAAAAGACCACCAAAATATAAATTACTTTTAACTGAAACAATATTTGGTGGACAGATTGTTTTTTTTTCAAAATCCAAATTTAAACTAAACATGAAATTGTGAATTAAATATACAACTCACAGATAGATTTCTTGGGGAAATAGCACCTTGATTATTGTGAAAAGAAATTCACCAATAATTATTATGAAATTTCTAGAAAAGTAAAACTCTATAAATTTATTTACATAAAATCAGCAATATTTTTGTTTTTTATCTCTTACAAAAATGCTTAAATTGGTATTCTGTAACAATCTACATGTTGAACAATACTCATTAAATAATTACAATTAACTTACCTTAGGCACAAGACTCACTAAGGCATAGCTTGATTTGCTGCTGATCTAAGAGGTAATCAAAGGAAAGAAAAATGAACAGTTATTATTTAGATAGTGGAGGGTTGCTTTTCAACATAAACATATCTCTACTGAAGATATTATAAAAAGTTTGTTTGTTTGTTGTTAAGCTCAAGAAAAATTCAATGGTCTATCTGTGCTATGCCCAATGATGAAAGTTTTACCATTATAAGCCCACACTTACCACCGAGCCATTGGGGAGGGCAGGCATCTCAAAGTGACAAAATTTACTCAAACAACAAGAACTTTGTTTTTGCTCACTTTGAAAACAGTTTTTTCTTGTTTTGCTACCACTAAAGATCTAGCTGATAAAGCTTGTTGGAATGTTTTAACTCTCTGGAAATGGGCTCAGTCGAATTGATCAACCACATTACTACTTTGTACTCATTTAAAATCATTATAGTTTTGATACTACTAACTTTTAATATAGCGTGTATATCTTCACAAAATTTGGCAGAATTTCAATAATAATTATAAGTATTTCACAACAAAAAAATCAGATGTTTTAGCGAAGTATTTTTAATAAACTAAAAAAAAGATTTGTCCATGAATATATTGAGCTCCTTGCACAAGTGCCTCATTAAACATTTTTATATTTTAGTTACTTTTATAATAATAATAAATAAAGAATATACATGAAAAACAAAAATAAAGTACTTACCCGTCTCATATTTTTTGCTGTCAACTGTAGATGACACTTAACCTTATTTTTTCATACTAGTAGTAGTAATGCACTAAGTAATGTTTATTTAATTAAATAATGCACCAAAACCAAAATACAGAATAATAACATGCAAAAAGTACACAATGTCCCATTACTATAGCAATTTTTCTGGCTTTCTAACTACGCAACAAGAGCTGTTAAATTCATCCAAGCTAGTTAATACATTTTCCATTAGAACAAAGCTTGTACTAAAAGATAAACTGACAATTCTCTGTTCAGAAAACATTGTAATATAATGCATCATTTAGTAGGTAAAAACCTGGACTTTCTATTGGTTATATATAATATATTATTAAACATAAAAGAGAACTATTAACAAATCCTGGAATAGAGGATGTGACAGGAGGGGTCTGATTTTCTATTTGATGACTTTGTAACCAGACAAGATTGAGGGCTGTAAAAATTATGGTTTGTATGAGTGATGAAGATTTTATAGTGAGTAATTTACATTAAATTGCGTACTTATTGGAGGGGTGATGAATAAATTAGAGAAGAGGGGATGCCTAGAAAAAAAAAAGTCATATTTCTCACACTAGGGGTAATTCATAATTTCTTTTAATATTGCCTTATAAAATTAAAAACTTCAAACTTATATATCATTAAAACATGGATTATTAACTATGATTTTATGTTATACTAATTGGTACAACATAAACAAGAAGTAGTTGATTTAAATTTTTAATACGTCACTAAAAACCTCGTGACATGCCCAGTAAAGGATGTCCATGCAGAGAGATTCAAATATCTCAATTACAGTGAACAGTACAGAATATAGCCTCTACAAAATTCTTTGGTTGTCAGGATACAACCTACCATCTATGCCAACTGACAGGCAAGTTAGTGCAGTTTTCCTGCTCAGTTGGCATAGTGGCTATTTAACTGTTTAATTATATCATGCAAAACCTATTCATTTAAAAAGCCACATAATGTCAAAAAAATAATCAACAGAAATTTCAGTAATCTATCTAATACAATAAGCTGGATTTTTCAATTTTTCTTCATTTGTCACAAGTATGATACCAAAAAATTAATGACATTTTAAAGATATATTATTATACCAACAATAAATAGATAAATATATGTTTGTCTAACTGGGTTTTGTTGGCAGATTTAGATGTCATATTTTGGCTATTCTACAATTAAAATACCATTAATAAAATAAAAGTAAAATTATGCAAAAGTATTAAACAAGATAAATTGCCAACTGAAAAGTAACTACAAGCATGAAAAGGTACAATTTTTGTAGTCCACATGTCACAAGAAAACAAAATTAGATGTACATTAAAGACAATGCTTTTTTTTTAATTTTTCAGTCCTTCTTCTAGTTGGAAAATAAATGACGATAAAGATGGCAATAATAGTCTGCCTTTGAACTTTTAAGCATTTTACATTATGCCTGATTTTTACTAAAAACTCAATGTCAGTCAAACACCCAAAACTGTTAATACTTGATACAGTTATAATTTTCCTACACAGAAAATGTATTTCCGATATATACTTACCTCCTGTCAGATAATAGCTTTTCTCAATTAATACTGCCATCTATATGGACAATTTTGTCACTCGCCACTAGTTAGCTTTGATACTCCCACCTATCCCCATGTGTTTAACATCATACAGATATGCTGTACCATACAAAAAGCATGTGACAACCCTCCTTCAATAGGAGCGAGGCACACTCTCCTGGTGCAGCCGTCTTCCCCTAGAATACAGAGTTTACCATTACTCCGAGATTAGGCACACTGAATAAAAAAAACAATGGAAGTGGGGATGAAGGGTGGGAAGTGTGAGTGTAGGTAAGTATCTATCGGAAATACATTTTCTGTGTAGGAAAATTATAACTTCCAATATGATATCTTACCTCTTCTCACTCGATAGCTAGAATCCCACATTGATCTGGTGGAAGGACCAGAGCAAAATTACCTAGATGAACCTTCTTAGGGATGCATCTACAATGAACTCATGGAGTGTGACATCTCTGTCAAGAGGAGAAACACTCATGTGAGACCATACCACATCTGAATCATGTACACACTTCACCCTTGATGAATGACAGTGTCACTAAATGGATTTTTTGCCTCAGGTATAACATGGACGGGGCACATCAGATCATAGTCGGAGATCAATTCCAGTCTCAATAAATGGAACTGGGAATTGAACATTTTGTCCATGGACGAAGGAGGGTCCTTAATCATCAGTATCCGAACCAAAAAAAACAGGTCCAAAACCAAAAAATCTGGGAATGGTTCACCCAGTCCATGGTAGGAGATCCTCGACCAATTGAAACCAGATGTGTTCCTGGTGTAGAATGGTTAGGGAGCATTGGACTGTAATCACGAGATCAGTTCCAGCCCCAAACCAGTCGTACTGGGAATGGATCATCCAGCCAACAGTAGAAGGAGCACTTCCATTTCAAGAACCCAAACATACCAAACATGACCAACACTAGTCCCTCTGGGAACTGAAATCCAGAGGAGAGTAGGAAGGTAGAATGCAGTGTTGAGAGTCAACCTTGTCCAAAACCATGTGGCATTGGAAATGTATTCTCAAATCTGTAGTAGGAGGAGGAAGGTCCCAGCCCACTTACATCTGCGGATTTATATTGGCTGGTCCAGCTTCATCCAACACCAGTTGGCAGTGGATATAAAGAAGGGTTCCCAACCAGAGAGGGTGAACTGCCTTTTTTTGGTGGATTGAACCAATCCAAAACCAAACAGCATCTAGAATTGTAGAGAAGGAATGAGGAATGAGACCATGATAGAGTGACCAATGGCAAAAAATATGCCATTTGCAATGATGCACAGATAAAGAGGAAAGACTTGACTGAACAGGAAATAATGGATGCTACCCATGTAGAAAGATCTGTCCTTCTTCCAAGCCAGAGTGTGGGAATGGACAGATGAACCAGGATGCATGAGGTAGACAAAAAGTTTTTTTTTTTGTTATGGATTTCGCACAAAGCTACATGAGGGCTATCTACACTAGCCATCCTTAATTTAGTGGTGTTAGACTAGAGAGAAGGCAGCTAGTCATCACCACCCACCGCTAACACTTGGGCTACACTTTTACCAATGAATAGTGGGATTGACTGTCACATTATAATGCCCCCAAGGCTGAAAGGGCAAGCATGTTTGGTGTGATAAGGATTCGAACCTGTGACCTGCTGACTGTGAGTCGAGCACCCTAACCACCTGGCCGACAAAAGAGAGATGGGGAGGGAAGAAGAGGTAAAGATGTAGTAATGGGAACCATGTCTAAGCAGGCCAGAACAGAGCCACCGGAAAGATTCGACACAGGGTCCTCAATCATCAGTATCCTAACTAAAAAAATGGGTCCAAAACCAGAAAATTTGGGAATGGTTCACCCAGTCCATGGTAGGAGGTCCCCGACCAATTGAAACCATGTCTAAATAGGCCAGAACAGAACCACTAGAAAGACTCGACACAAAGTGGTTTGAATGATGGATAAGATTCTGGAAAGTAGACAAATGGTAGGACAGGCATAAATATAACAGTCCTTCCATTTCTGGCTGAAGGTATCTACTGCCAATGCTGAAGGATGTAGAACTGGAGACCAAAAGAGAGTGATTTTATTGTTCCAATTGGTGGCAAATGCATCCAACTGGGTCATATCTAACTGAGGACATAGCCAATGGAAGCCCGTTGGATTGAAGGACCACTTCATGGGAAGAATCCTGTTGCGATGAGATAACAGATCCATAACAAGATTAAGAGCACTTGGGATATGGCAAGCCTGCAGGTGGACATGCTGGCTGTAAGACCAGAACAGAAGATCCAATGTTTGAAAACAAAAAGACAGAACAGGTGCCTCCTTCACAGGTGACATAAGAGACTATGGTCAAGTTGTCAGAATGGATCATGACCAAACTGCCCTTCAGAGGGGGAAGGAAATGCCAAAAGTTCCAAGAGACTGATATGAAACTTGGACTCAACTGCTGACCATTGACCCGAGATCTCTCGAGAATCCAAATATGGTTTGTAAACTGACAGAGAGGCATTGGCAAAAAGATGTAAATCAGGTCTGGGAGGTAGAAAAGGAACTCCAGATATGATGGAGTTACTGTTCAGCAACCAGACAAAATCATTGAAAAGGGAGGGAGGAAGGTTGATAGGTGCAGCCCCAATGTATGCCCAACCCAGAGGAATAATGGGTTTCAAGGATGCCCCAGTCCTCAAAAATGATATACTCTCCCATGCAGGTAGAGTAGGAAAGGATTGTGCTTTTTGAACTGCCAGCTCCATAGACTGTAGTCAAACGAGAGAAGGTTGGGCATGACTGAGGTATGTGTTGAAAAGGACCAAGATAAACAAGATATTGTGTCAGGGTAAGGATGAACTTCTCTAACTTGGTCAGCCAATGCACTTGTGCAGCTTCTCTGAGAAGAAACTGAGTGTGGTAAGAAGAAACTGCTCATGAAAGAAAACAAAGCCCTCAAGAGTGAAACCATTTGGCAAAAACATTGACCACCCGTCAAAAAGCATAAGAAGGCGAGGCCAACCTGAAAGGAAGGGCTCTGAATTGGTAGACTTGGTCTTCATGGGCAAACCAAAGGAACCAATGTGATGCTGGGAATATGGCACTATTGAGATGGGAAAGGTTGATGATTGGCGACCAGTTCTATTTGGGGGGGGGGGGGCATCAAACAACCAGGAATAGAACCCTTAAAGGGATTAAGCCATAGGTTCAATAGCACCTTTGTAAAAAAGGTTCTGAACTGTCTTGGAAAGTTGCTGGCTGGATATGGGATCCTCAGGAGGATGGAAGGCAATTGAGAAAGGAGGTGTGTGCAAAAGAAAGGAGAGTCATTCTGATAAGACTTATAGAGCCCAAGGATCTGAGATAAAGGTTCTCCACACATGGACAAAATTGTACAGTCTGGCCCCTACTGGTCTTGTACTAACCAGATAGTCACCAATACCATTGGGATCGAAATAGTTGGCAGCATACACTGCAATGATCTACTTCCAAAACCTGAGTAGAAGGAACAGGTGGGGAGGGTCACAGGTATAGGAGCAGGAGAGCATGGAGAAGATTGGAGATATGCTGACTCCACATGATGCTCAAAGGACTCGAGGATACCCCCAAAAACAGACTGCTGCAAAACGATGGGATGTGGGGCAATTGCACCCATGTCAGAAGGGCATTACAAGAGTTCCCAACAACATAGGAGCCAAGTGTGAAGAGATAGGGCCAAGAAAGATGAATGTGCCAACATGAACAACAGTGGGGAATGGAAGGGAATAATGGATAGCCTCAAACAAATGGTAAAAGGAAGTAGTGAAGAAGGAAGGTTAAGGTTAAATGAAGGTGGGAGAACTATATCTGGGAAAAAAGGATTGAGGTATCAGAGTCTGAACTTCAAACTGGGATTTAGGAATCCAACTGTTGAGAATCCAAAAAAGGATTCAAAGCCCAATGGTAGACCATTGTATGGGCTTAAGAAGAGTGAGAGGGACACAGCATGCTAATTCCTGAACATAATTGGTTGGTCAAATGCTCAGCATGGATCCTGATATCAGGAGAGAGAAAAAAAACAAAAAATTTGGGAGCATGTATCATGTATCAAGGAAGAGTAATCAATAAATGTATAGTTTCCAGTAATATAAGTATGGCTCGATTTGGTTAGGCTAGTATTCTTTGCTTAGCCTTCTTGATTGTAACTTGAGAAACAAATTAGTCACCCGCAAGCTGCAAGTTCAACCGGGTGTTTATGTAAAATGTTCCTTTTCACGTGTTAAGATCAGTTTATCAGTGATAAAATTATTTCTAAGACTTTCATAAATTACATAAATAAACTTTTCCTGAATTGCCAAGTCTTTAGTTTTGTATAATTGCACTTTATTCTACCTCAATGTAAACAAGTAGAAAAATAACACAATTTCTGACTTTGTAAAATACAGAAACATATTGGCTACCATACATTACATATGTATATATATATATATATATATAATTAATGTTTTCAAATGTCAGTTATTTTTCTTCAAACATACAACAGTAAAAAAATATATTTGGAAAACAATGATCTCTTCTACTTACGATGCTACAAAGTCCTTGTTTGCACTTGTGAGCCATACTTGCTAAGCCTCTTCCAATTTCATATGTGGAGATGGAAAAATAATATTTTTTGTAGACTTTATATAAGCATTTGGGAATACAAAAAAAATTATAAATTACTATACCAATACCCCAAAAATCCACTGTAATTTATGAGTGTTTTTCTGATAGCAAAGCCACATCAGGCTATCTGCTGTGTCCACCAAAGGGAATTGAACCCCTGTTTTTAGCATTCTAAATCCTTAGACTTATTGCTGTACCAGCAGGGAACCCACTGTAATTTATCAGGCTTCCTAACTAAATTGTATTTGAGTCTAAAAAAATATAATTTCTATTCACAAAATAGCCTTAAGCAATACTTCAAACTTTCCAATGATATAAGAGCATTTCTCTCATAAATAGCTTAGGAAGACTGACAGAATTATGTAGAATAAATATATAGCTTTCAATTGATTATAAAGTTATTGGTACATAAAAGAAGGCTTAAATAAACAAGTCTTCTCAAATGATGAAGTGGTGGGTGGAGCCAATAGGGCGGGTTCGCTAAGTATCATATCTCAGCAAATAGAAAAGGTAGGAGGTTCTTATTTTATATTCTAGCTTGCCAATATTGAACATTTGAGTTTCTAATTCTTACAAAACTATAAACGTTGTATTGTGGGTGTCATAAAATGTAATCTGACCAAACCCAAAAGGCCATGTACCACGTGACACACAAAAATCGATATTTAGCTTTTTTTTTTAAATATTTAGTTTCGAATTAAGAAATTAACTAATGTATAATACTAAAATTTGAATTATAATCTACAATTTGATATCAAACTTATTCACATACTTTTATAAAATAATAGTTAAATAAAATGTTGAATGTAAATCTAGAAACCTGATGTCATGCCCTCTGACCCCTACCAGTCTCGATAGTGTTAAAACCTTATAAACCTGTATTACCAAGTCCAGAAAATATGATGAAGGTTTAAATGCATCAACTGCTGCAAAATGAGACTGCCCAACAAAAGGACGACAAGGGAGAAGGTTGCCCAAGTTTTCGTTCTCTTGTCTAGTGTCCTCAAGGTAGGGGAGAACTGGTTGAGGGTCATGAGAGCCACCAGCCTGCATGAACAACTCCATTTCCCAGTGGATGGTGCCAAAACCTTCTCTACCGATAACGTCGCACCAGTGGTCGCAGTAACAGGTGGTTGATCTATGGTAGTGGTAGCTTTTGAAGTTGTCGTGACAATAAATTGCAAGTTCATCACTGAATATGAGTGGATAAATAAACTAAGACTAAAAGTAAAACAAGTTGTTGTCGAAAGAGAGAGAGATAAAAGAAATGTTCACAAAAGTAATTCAACTCACACTGAACAGCTGTTAGATTCTCAAAGTTGAACATTTAAGTTCAGAGAGTATGTTCAAATATGAAGTACAAAAGTAACAAAATGTGAAAACTCAAAGCCTGGCAAGCAATACATCTAATTACTTGAGTGCCAAATTGTGAGGTTAGAGTCTGTAATCCAGGAGAAGACAGGTGCACCAGAAGAGTGTGTCATGCTAAAAAATTGAGCATATAGAAGGAAGCATTAATCAAGAAAAGCTATTATGTGAGAAGAGGTAAGATAAGATATGGAAATTTTATATCTAATAAATTGTTATTCAGATATTATTAGAAACATTAGCATTCTATTATATATATCATCAGACACAAATGATACAAGTGATATAATACAACCTAATACTCTGACGTAAACCCTTTCTTCTCATAATGAGTGTAATAAATTGTTATTCAGATATTATTAGAAACATTAGCATTCTATTATATATATCATCAGACACAAATGATACAAGTGATATAATACAACCTAATACTCTGACGTAAAACCTTTCTTCTCATAATGAGTGTAATTTTGATCATTCACTTGTGGCCTTTGTTAGGTTTACAATATAAATTATGTTTATTTGTATTACAAATATGTAAATTTTTAAACATTCACACTATCAGATGAACAATAATGAAAACAGATTTACCCATATTTTGCCTGGCTTCTGATTAACTAAGTACATTAGGAATTCTTTAATCATCTTATAGGGCCTGATTTCAACTTTTATACTATCAGAACTATCATCATTTTGGAAATGTCGGTGCACTGAAGGGGTAAGCTTGCTTTCTTCAATAAACAAACTGAAAAAAAGAGTGTAAGAAAGATATTTAATAAATAATATTTTTCATAGGATTTTAGAAAATACACAATTTCTCACTGCCCATAAAAGAGAACCTTACATACTTATATTAAAACTGCAGTAGTTTTTTTTAAAAGAAATCACAAACATAAATAAAAGGATATGAACAAAATTTATAATAAGAATTATAACTACTTTATCTCTTTCTTAAAGAGAAATGTAAGGTTTCAAAACCAAATAAAAGTTTCTTTACATAATAACAAAAATATTGAGTAAGAAAGGTTATGTATAAATATCTGTTTCTAAACATAAAGTATGATTCTTTACTAAAACAAACTGTACGCTCACTATATCTGACACAATACAGTGACTGTCAAGGACAAAAATAAACTAGAAAATAAAATTTCTTTGCAGTAACTCCTCATGCATAACTCAAGAGAATGTGAAACTGAATGTTTTATCCCAATTATTTTTAACAAAATATAAAATGTATTATTTATTGCTGGTGCTAGGTATAGGTAACTGAATTACAAATTTATAAGTGAGATGAGTTAAATGCATAGATTATGAGTCATGACCATCTGTTAATATAGTTTGATAAGTTTTGCCTAATATTTGGTCAAAAAAGTGCCACATCAGATACATAATTATTCCAATGTGTGTTTAGTTTATTTTGTTACCTTTCCTACAAGCCAGAGCTACAACTGACAGTGAAGTTTTTACAAGGTAAGGTCAAGGTTGAGCAGCAATTAATAAAAGCACATTTTGTTTTGTTTCAGCTAATAGAAATAGGAAAACAGAGCCCTAAACAAACCTTAGGAATGGGAATAAGCTGAAACTCACCACTGGTTTCTGAGACATTTATAGCAAAGTAAAGAGAAGCTAACTTAGTTTCAGAGATAACATTGCACTGTTTGTATTTCATTGAAAGACTCTGTTCTATTGATATCAGAAGCCATGACAGAACTCATGGTTTTCAAAATCTCAAACAGCTCGGGTTCATTGTACTTTATGTGATAATTTGTGTTCAGACATTTGCTGGTTTAACCATATTGTAATATTCTATTACTTACAGCAACCTTAGCACTGAAAGCTTTTTTTATCAAGCAATTTTAAAGCAAGTTATACAGTGCAGCTTAATATATGTTTCAAGGAAAAAGGTAACAGAGTTAATTTACCTGTTTCAAGCCATAATTTATTTATTTATATAACTCTTAAATCATTAAGGTATACATGGAACTTTAACAGAAAAACATGTTCATCTAAACTAAAATATATATTTAAATTCAGTCTTTTCTTTCACACACACACATATATATTTATATTTAAAAATTAGTTCCCAAACCGTATCTTTTGATTCTAAGATAAGTTATGATAGTGGTAAATGGATTAATAATTAGTATAGGTGTTTTAAAATTGTTAAAAATTATGGTGACTTAAATTATATTACCAGCTTGATCATGCTACTTCCCAAACTTCTTATGGTCATGAACAATACTTACAACACAGAATCAATTGTGACAACAGCATAAGCAAAGAATACAGGATTAAAGTCAATGTCAGATCCCCGTAAGTTGAATAACCCTATAAAACACAATCATTATTAAAGTAACTTCTATTTGAATTACCCTGCAGAAAAAATTAATCAATTACCCTAATTACATGTAAACACACCAGTCAGTTTTATTCTGATTTTTCTGAGAACTAATTACTAATCATTCATAAATCCAATTTTAAAATTTTATGTTTTTTTTTAGTTATAGTTCATCAGATGATCATCATATATCAGGAACTTTATATTTCACAAATTTGTGTATTTAATACAAAAAATTAGCCTTATAAAACATTTAAATGTTAACTAACTTTATATAATAGATAAAGTTTTGATACTTGATATATTTTCTTGTGTTTCTTTCTCAATACAAGATGATCTCGTACCCATTTATTAAATTCTGGATTAGTTCCTGAATCATATACTTCAGTAACATGCAAAATTTGACATCTCACAGTTCTTTAAACACAAAATCACAAATAGATCTGATTGTTTTCACTTCTGCTCTTATAAAAAAGGCAAGACTTTTCAAAGACCTTCAAATGTTTTGTTTGTAAATATACATATATCATACACGATATTTTATTTAATTCAATTTTATATATCTTTGTGATATCCTACTATATCCACATTTTAACTCAACAGACTAAAAGTTAAAGCAACAAGCGACTGACTGTTATGACAGTTCCGTTATGAAGGGATTTCTCAATTACCTATTAAACAAAGTTAGCTTCCACTTAAATATAATTAAATGTCCAATATAACTGAATGAAAAGGCAAACTTGAGACTGTTTTATATGAGTTTTGAAAAAATAGTTTTTAGATATCTCATCAAGTCTACACAGAAGATCAATACTTACAAGCAACTTCATCCAATGCTGTAACTAACAAAGATTCTGCCATTTCTTTTGTCATTTCTTCTCTTATTTCCATAATTTTTTCCTTCCAGTGTTTTCCTTGTTGACAAGATTTTTTTTTCATTACATGCATTGTTTTTGGATAAATAATATCATAACAATAAAACTATATCAATTCTAAAATGTTTTATATAAGAAAAGTGATTTAATTTTAAACAGAAGAGGTTTATAAATTAATACATTTTTCATTAGGTTTAAAGAAAATTGAAAAACATTATTTTCCTTGGGATTAAGAGAGTGAACTTTAGAAACATTATTATACTCTTAGAATGATAACATTTCCAAACTGGAAATTTCCACTTTTCTAAGCACCTGTATATGATGACGGTAAAGGTTCCACTTGATTACAAAGAGGAGCTGGACGATCTTCCCACACCACATCCACTAGATTCTGACTCACAGGCACAAGGCTATGTCCTGCTGTAGCCAGTTTCTTTTCTAAAGGTTTCCACATATCTGAGAGAACAAGACACGAGCATTTTTTACAGAATTAAAAGCAACAAACTAACATATCTTTTAAAGTCTTAACCAAATGAAGTAATTATCAGAAGATTTTATAATAATTAGTGAACTAGAAAAATGAACCAATTATGATCATAATTCTCAGGTTTATAGCACTTATAAATCAGTACATGATCACAAAATGATAGCTGTTTACACTGACATTCCATCTGATAATAACATCTGATAAAAAATTAAAAGAAAGGAACCAATGTAAACACATCATTTTTAAGCAAATCAAATACTTAGATTAAGGTTTTAACTCAGCCATAAAAATAAACTTAATTATCACAATTAAAACCTGTAATGAACAAGATTTTACCATTTTGTAACAAGTTGACGTGTTTCACTAATCAAACTTCTTTTATTGTTCGTCAAATTTTAAAGTTTTTGTTTGCAAAGACAGGTTATTATCTCAGTGTTCAAAATCATTAAAAAAATTTCCATTAATCCTAAAGATGAAGTTAGTAGGAATGGTATATTTTAAGATGACTTGGACATTTGAAATTTAACTCTGTCAGTGTGAAAAACTGAGCTATGATTGGCATTTAACATTTCAGTTTCACTTTGTATTGAACAAGTTAATAACATTAAATTCTTGAAAAACTTTTTTTTTGTATCTCACACAAAGCTACTGAGTCTCCATCTGGGGTTCTAGTGTAATGAGTCCTCAAATATATATCACTGTGCCACTGGGGAGTTTTGGAAAACTCTGCAATTCTATTTTTACAAGTTACAGCTTTTACAGTAAGAAAAATAAATCTTTAAACAAGTTCAATATTTCAGTCACTGGTGCATCTATTTTCAACTTCACAGGTTTTAATGATAAAGAAGGTTTTTGTATATAAATCAACAATATAACAATGTGTTTAAGTTAGAGAATCAATAGCAATTACTTATGCATGTGCACATCAATACATGTGAATTGGCAGATTATTTAATTATAGCTGAACAAAAGAAAAAAATTCGATTAATTTGAAACAGATTAGTAAAAAAAGTATTAATTCAAAAAAGAGAGAATAGTGATTGTCAAAAAAGTACAGAAACAAGTTGAATCAAAATGCAGTGATGATATTTTCAAGCCTACAACTAGGGACTCTAAAAAAGTAAACAAATGAGGCTGGAAATAGTGTCTACATTATTTTCTTAAGCTACAAATCCCTATTTTTGATTCAATGTCTACAGTACTTATTAATTTAATTTTTAGAGACCCTAGTTGTAGGCTTGAAAATATAGTCTTTGCATTTTGATTCAACTGATTTCTGTATTTTTCTGACAATCCTCATTCCCCCTTTTTAAATTAACAATTGTTATTAATCTTGTTTCATAAGTTTTTTATGTCCACTTATGGAGAATAAATTTCAAGCTACGTACACGTATATGCGGGCAGTTGAATGTTACATGTTTTTCAACAGTTTTCATCTACATTGGCTTTTTTTCCACTCAACAACCATGCTGAGCTTATTCAAAATAAATAACAAATGTACAATAAAGAATAAACACATGTACTGTTACGCAACCACAACAACCAAAATGTAAAGTTGTTCTCAAAAGACCATCTTGAAGACAAAGACTGTATCATCACAGATTTAATGAATGGCTTCCATCAATGACATAGTGTAATGTAACAAAAGACAAGCAGCAACAAAGCAATCTCATCAGAATGAAATAATGTTTCTTCTAAGATAATACAACATAGATTAATGTGCAATGTAAATAGATGCAGTAACATACTTACATTGTTAGGTCTACGTGACACATATGTATGCTCTTCGACAGCCTGCTGTGCACAAGTGTTTGCTAGAAGAATGCATCACAAATAATACATGCAAGATAGACAACAGCAACACACTTAGTGTACGTCACCAATTATCGACACCATTTACAACCTCTATTTTAACACTATTTATAAACAGCAATAGCTATATGAAATAGTGCTATATGCACCTACAATTTCAGCTTACTATAAGAAACAGTAAAAAGAATCACCACTGTTGTCTGGGTAGGGAAATCTACTATGGTGTTCGTCCACTGTTAAAAACATGCTGAAATATAGTTGCAGAAATCCATGTAGAGACATCAAGCTTGAGTAACGATATGCAACAGCAAAATCGAGAACCTTTCACGTGGCAGTTTCCAATTAGAAAATGCATAAGTTGTAGTTTCCAACTAATGTGCACACTAGGAAAACACCAGATTTTTTTTAAAGTGAAGGACTTAGAAAATTTCACAGAATGAAAAAATTAAGGAGGTGAAGTTAAGTTTAAAACTACTCTCTAAGTTTTTTGTAAAATTCCTGTGCAATCCCACACTAAAGTAGATATTACTTGCAATAATTTTATAATGGAATCATAACAGAGATTGAGCAAACTGTCAACAGTAGATCTCCAGCCTTGTTTGCTTATTGGTTTTGTGATCACCATTTGTAGATTTTAAATTCTCAAATTTAATTATCTTGTATGTAGGCTATTTTAATGCACAGCAATGGGCAAGTATATGCCTGGAGTAAGACACAACCCACACTAAGCACCTATAAAATTTTACCAATAGAAAAGCAACTTTTTTAAATAAAATAAATACATCTGAAACATCACTTTAAATAAAGCTTCGTGTCTTTTTAAGTAATTATTTACTGAGCCAGGTGGCTTTGTGCCTGAGGTTTCATGTAAACGTGTGTTTAACAACACGCATAAAGTACAAAAGCAGCTGCTCTGAACAACATTGCATCTATTATGTATTTGTAATCATGTAAATCAACTTTCAATGAAAAATAATCAACTTTTAAGTAGGTCATGGACATTTACGATGCTTCATTTAGCATATCTGTCAAGGTTTTGGTGTAAAATATCCAGCCAATTTTGTTGTAGGCTTGTGAAATAATACTATTAATAATAACTTGAATAAATAGACAAATTCTGATTTTGTCTAAAATCATGAAATCACTTATTTTGTTTATTATTAAGTGTTTGGGTGGTCTTAGCTATCGAAAAGGAAGGTTTTGAGTGTTGTTTCAAGAATAAGTTGTTTTTAAAGTTTTCTGGCCAAATTTTCTTTTTGAGTTTTGAGCATATTCTGATTGGATCCCCATTACGAATTACTATTGTGGTTCACGATATGTAAAAGTTGTTGTATGAGAGGTTTGGATAATATTAGGTATGTCTGGGGAAATAACAATCATACACATACAGAGTTGTGCCTGGATATTTGTTAATTGATTTTATCAATAAGGTTAGTTGTAACAGTTCAGTTAGGTGCTCCCATTTTGTCAATTCTCCTCTTTGGATCATTTGGTACAATTTTTCCACTAAGTTCTATTACCTCAGGTCAAGGGTTTGAGAGAACAGACTAAAAGATGTCAAAGCTACACGGAGAAATGTTATTGTCTAAGCTATGTAACCGTCATAGGAAGTGTGAAGTTTGATGATGAGGAACCCACTTTGAGACCAATAATGCTTGGAGATGGCTTGAATGGGTAATGAAGAAAAACTTTAATATAAGTTGAACAAATGTACAATGATTCGACTAGGTCTTGTACCTGATGATGACAAAACCTTGTTGAAACATTGTGGATTTGCTGTTATGTTAAACTTATATCAAAGTTTTTCTTCATTACCCATTCAAGCCATCTCTAAGCATTAGAAGTGTGAAGTGTTTTTTTAATTGAGTGTTTATTTTGGAAACATAAGGTTCCAAAATCCAGTTGAAGTATTTACCAAGGGTGTGGATTAAAGATATGTAAGAAAACATAACTGGGTGTAAGGTTAATGGGTTTTATGGACTTTTGGTAGATCATAGACTTTTAGTGTTCTTGGTTGGTTTGTATGCAAAAAACTGTAAAGTTTAAACATGAGAATTTTTTCTTTAATAATATTATGGAATAGTTTACCTAATTTTGTATTGTATGTTGGGTTGACATCAGTGTTTGACTGAGTAAGTTTAAACATATCATTCAATATATTTACCATGAAGGAATCATACTGTTTGGTTGTTAGAATCACGAGTTTCCTTTATTGGCCCTTTGGATGATAATGTATTCACTGTTTCTAAAATTTTTTTGGCCTTTTCTTTATGCTTTATTCTTTCTTTTTTTTCAAAGGTTTTCATTAATTTCATCTAGAACGTTTTTAAAGGACCTGTTTTGGGTTTAGTTGCAAAATTGCAGAGTTGATCTTGTTGAAGATTACTGAAAACTCTTCATTGCTCTGCAATGAAATAGATGGGGATTCTTTCAGAGATATTCAAAATTGGTTTTTAAATCTAACACTACGATGGTGATAGGAGTGACTGTTTAGTTAAGACTTTTGTTTAGGGCTGTGATTTAAGGTTCACCGAACTGAATTGTTTCACAAGACCAAAAAAAAAGGAGGACTAATAAAAAGCAGGAATACCTAATTGAACTATTACAACTAGTCACATTTATTATTTGCTTCCAATACAGAGGTTTGTACTTCCTTCACTTACATGGACTTGACATGGGAAATCCATTATCAAATACCTTAGTAACACTTTTTTTTTATCACGTGGAACATATCACAGCCACTTCCTTTTATGAGCCTTCATTTTGGCTTATATATATGTAGATGACATTTTTTTTGTGGTTTTAGGTGTCATGATGAACAAACACATAAACAACATACAATTTTGTTGATAATGAAAACAACTACACAATAGATTTTTTAAATGTTAATATTACAAACTTCCCTCAAGTCTTCACCATTAAAGTTCATAAAAGAAATATATACTGAATATTACATAAACTAGTTTTCTAATCATGTAATCCAGCAGAAACTAGGCACTCTTAAAAATAAACTCGTAAATTTATCATACACTATATGCACCACAGAAAACATCAATGATGTTACACAAATTAAGAAATTTAAAACACACAGACAAGACATACTTAACAAACAAAATCAAAAAGCACTCAACAAAATGAAGGATATCTTATCATTGGCACTATCCCATAAATAGAAAACATTAACATATCTCTAACAGAAATCTGGAAATGACTAGAACATAAATATAACCATAACACAGCAACTAGAATCATTTTGACTCCTGGAATGAAAATTAAACACATGTTAAGAAAATTTTATAATGAACTCATCCTGTCAGGCAACATTTATCTACAGAAATACTGAATGCAAGTCTAACAAGGTTATAGTTTCATTTTACAGGTCACTGGTTAGGACACATTTTGAATATTGTGTTCAGTCTTGGGCTCCTTACCTTAGGAAAGACATTGAGTTGTTGGAAAGGGTTCAAAGAAGGGTTACTAAAATGGTACCTGCGATGGAGGGGTTGTCATCTGAGGATAGGCTGAAATTTCTCAAATTGTTTTCTCTTGAAAAAACAAGAGGTGGGGGGGGGATCTAATTGAGGTGTTTAAGATCGTAAAGGGAATTGATAGTGTTGATACATAATTTTTTTTCAAGTTGAACAGTGAGAACAGTAGGACTAGGGGAAACAAATATAAATTTTGGCAAGGACAGTTTCATTTTTCTAACAGAGTGGTTGGCCTTTGTTGTAAAGGCATTAAATTTAAATGAGTTTAAGAAAAAGCTTGATAAATATATGAATCATAAGAGCTGGCTTTAAGATTTTTTTTTTTTAATTATTTAAATTTAGTTTATAGGATGGAACAGCTGAGATGGACCAATAGGTCCCATATTGTCCCAACCATTATATGTTATTTATAGAATATAATGTAGCAATTGCCCAGCCTTTTACATAATTCAAACAGGAAGTAGTTTGAACACTAAGTTGAAAGAACACTAAAAATACCCTTCCCATATTCACAAACATACATAAACAATAACAACCAGTTTTTTCTGAGCAGAATGTCACCACTCTAAAACATGAATCTGACATTAACTGAAGAAAAATCAGAAAAGCCTTATCAATAAAATCAAACAATCCCACAGTCACATAAATATGTTTACCATTTCACTAGGTATTCCTAATCTTATCCAATCTTTAACACAACACCTACTTAAATTCATCTAATTATTTTGTTTAAGCTTTAAATAAATAATCTGTCAATTCACACAAATTGATATGCACATGCATAAGTAACTACTATTGATTCTCAAACTTAAATACTTTGTAATATTGTTGAATGTTGATTTAAATATGAAAATGTTCTTTACTGTTTAAACCTGTGTACTTGAGAATGATCACACCAGGGATCAAAATTTCATACCTGTTTAAAACATATTGTTCCTTACTTGTAAAAAATACTTATAATCAGTAAACTCAAATGAAGCTATATGTAATTTTATTTTTCTTTATTACTCTACTTCTGAAATACAGGAAGTCTCTAAGTATATAGATATCTTTGATGACAATTCTCAGAAGTTATAGAACTATATATATATATATGTACTTCAGTAAGGTGCAAACGTAAACTATGATTAGCTTTTTCAAAGAATTAAACTTATCTACTGTCATCCTTACCATAAGACACCATGAAAGGGTCCACACCAACTCTGCTCCCTAGAGGTAAAACCTAATAAAAGTTTCAGTTAAATTATTAGAATTAATGTACATAACTATTCAGCCAGACATGCATAAAAAAAGAAGAAATAAGCACTTTTAATTAGCATTAAGTTTTCACAAGTCACATGTGATGCTACCTATAAAAAATAAGAGTATGATAAACAAAAAATATTCAAATATTGCTATTAAAATATTATTTCGAATTTTTTTTAAAAGTGCCACATTTCAGCTAAGAATTCTGTTATTTAACTATACAAGACTATGACGAGATGTTCAAATTGTTCATTTTATAATGAAAATTGTTTTTGATAATGGGGTCACAAATGGTTCATAAAATCTTTAACACTGATAAATTGCTTCCCTTTCAAACTTACCAAGTTAACGCACATTTGATATTTCATTCTTCACTCAAGTCTAACCAGTCAAATATTTGTTTTTAAGAAACTTCATAATTGTTTGAATTCTGCAATAAGCTACATGAGGACTATCTGCACTAGCCATCCCTAATTTAGCAGTGAAAGACTAGAGGGAAGGCAGCTAGTCATCAACACCTACCACCAACTCATGAGCTACTCTTTTACCAACAAATAGTGGGATTGACCATCACATTATAATGCCACCATGGCTGAAAGAGCAAGCATGTTTGCTTGTACGGGGATTCAAACCCGCGACCCTCAGATTGCAAGTCAAGTGCCCTAACCACCTCGACATGATGGGGCTAACAGACTTCAAAAGAAATATTCTTCTTGCTGAAATAATGACAGTCCTGAATGGTTAAATGTACAGATTTAGAGAAAAATTACTAAAATTCTTTAATTCAATTAAAACTATATACTCTTTGTTTTATTAAATTTTGAAATGTACAAATCTCATTTAGGACTTCCTTTTAGATTGTTATCAATATTTTTAAATACAATAATTCTTTTTATGTTGTGTTTTAGTTATAGTAACTTTGCTATTGTGCTGATATTATATTTTTTCCTTTATTAACTGAATTTATTTTTACTCGTAGGTTTAAGTATAATTTGACAAGTTCCTTAAATTACCAACATTGCCTTGCAAAATTTTAAGCTTGTGAAATTAAAAGACCAAAAAAACATTGACTAATTCCTGTCAGGAATCAGTCATAAGCTAGCATACATATAGATGGGTATTATGTGAGGCAATAAGGCTAGCCTAAGGCTATAATTTTAATACGATCATTATCAATGCTCTTTTTTAATTGGTTTTCAGCCAAATACTATTTTATCAAAATCCAGAGCAGACTCCAGTGGGCAAACATCTGTCTAAAGGTTTTTCTTCATTTAATTCCATGAGGTGAAAATTTCAAAGACATTTTGGTAGATTTTTACAGGACATCTGTTTGGTTAATCTTGGTTATAGTGTTTATTCTTGGCTATAGTAACACGTCAGATAATACCCACAGTTATCATGTGCACATTTTTTAAAATCTGAAATGATTTCATTATATATCCAAAAATCCTGTCCAAGAATCTTTTGAGTTTGTTATTTTTCATTTTAAATAAATAAAAGCTCTTAAATTTGACATAAAAAGTGAAAACTTTCTACTTTAGTTGCAGTGCTGTCTACATCTTTCACAGGTTTTGCTAATAAATGAATTTTTAAAGAAACATGGTAAGAAAAAACCATCAAACAGAAATTTAATCTTTTCATATAACAGTTTATGCTTTGCAAAATAGAAACTCTTTGTTTTTACATTACATTTAATACTGCAAGGCTTTGAAACTATCTGATCAATTTACTTAAAATTCATGATTTGTTTTTTTAACTTAAGATTGGTTTCTTCAAGATAAGAAAATCTAACTGAGATTACACTTAACTAATAAGTGTTTTCTTTTCTGTATCATAAAAATGCATACCAAAATAGAAATATAAAAAAAGTAATATAATGTATCATAATATATTAATTTACAATATTAATCAAAATACTATAATCCCAATGTTTTCAGATATTAACTGGAAATATAGAAGGAAAAAAAAAGAGATTATATATGTGACATTTGTGGCTCATCCTGACACCATAAAAACAGAAAAGACCGTGACAGAATCAAAAAAGATATGAGGTTCATATTTTAGATTCTTGCATGTAATTATTTAAAATTTGTGTTTCTAACTGGGTGAAACTGTAGAAGCTTGTTATTAAAGTTAGAAATTTCTGATGTTGAGAATTTGGAGCTCAGATGTGTCACGTAACATAGAAAAATGAAGATAGAAAATTTTTCTATTATTTATTTTTGAAATTGAGAAGTTACAAACTATGTTTCATGCCCTGTTTACTGACATACACTGACAATAAAGTTGTTTAATTAAATTTTGAATGTAACACTGTAAAAAAGGTCATGACACATGCAAAAGAGCCAGGCCCAGTGGACAACAATGAAGGTGGTTATACCTTGTAATTGAAACATTATTTTCAAAGTATAAGCCTCTTACTAGGTAACTATATCCCAGGAAAAACATTTAATATAAATAAACTGTAGGTAACAGCACTTAACACCTCCTGATTACTATTTTAGAATTACTTTTGAGTTACATTGCATTTTATTTTCTTTATATACAAGCAATTCATTCATGTTTTAAGAAAATATAGAAAAGCAAAATATCTCTGAAAAATTACTTGCTATACATTCTTTAAATCCTCTTTAAATATAGTGTCACTGTGGTGAGTAAAATACAAATAAAAACACACATATATTAACACAGTTCACCACTATAAGAAGCTTAGTCTTTTTTTTTGGTTTACACTTGTACAGGGCTACTGATGTGAGGTGGAATTCCCCAAGACTGGTATAACTCAGTAACAAGTTGTGACTCAAATAACAGAATTGGTTTCATATTCATCTTTAGTAACTTTGAACAAGTTTATTAAAAAGAAACTTAAAAACACAGAAGTCACACATTTTAATAAAAGACCTACCACAATCCAACCAAGTACAAACAAGTTTAATCATTAAAAATATACAAATACCAAATAGTTAAAAGGTTTACCTTATTTAACCAATCCCCTTGTGATGGTGTATCAGGAAGTCCTAATAAATGAAGTAAATAAAACACATTCAAACTTTTAGATATAAATAACTGCAAACTCAAAAACATAATTTTAGTGATTAACTAACATTTAGCTGTGGGGTCACGGATAGACATTATTGCTAGTAATGAATAGATAAGAAATGCATCTGGACTAGTTGCTGACATAACACACTAGTCCAATAGGGCTAATGGCTTAGCACTGAGTGTCTAAAATGCTTTTAATTTTTTGATATATTCACACATTTCACTTTTTCCTTTTTTTACAGCAAAATTGTAACATTAATTCCTTAAGTTCAACATGCTTAAACTGTTTATTTCCGACAAAAGAAAAGGAAGTAAATTACGAGTCAATCAAAAATTCTTTATCTGTGGATCAACATCAGTACATTGCTCAAATATTGAAATTGAAAAATTAGAGTTTTGAAAAAAAATAATTGGTAATTTAAGACTTAATAGGAAGTTATTTTCTTTCTCTGTGGAGTGACATTGGCAAACTGCTCAGTTTGTTGTTTCAAAAACTCTGCAGTCACAGTACAATACCAAATCTATGTATGCAAGTTATCCACTATATGTACATTCACTTACAATATTTAGACTTTGAACATTTTAATGGTTTTATAGGTATAATTGTAGTGACAAATCTTGCAAAAAATACAATGTATGTATATATTTTTATAAAATGTTGCTTCTTTGACCAACTATTCAAAGACACATCATAAGAGTCTATCAACAGTGGTCACTAACTGCTGGAGTCTGACAAATGGAAAAGATGATTGAACAGGCTTTTATACCAACTGCTGGAGTTGGACAAAGGAAAAAGATAATTGAACAAGCTTTTACACTAACTGCTGGAGTTGGACAAAGGAACAAGATGATTGAACAAGCTTTTACACTAACTGCTGGAGTTGGACAAAGGAACAAGATAATTGAACAGGCTTTTACACCAATTGCTGGAGTCTGATAGAGGGAAAAGATAATTGAATAGGTTTTGACACCAACTGCTGGAGTATGACAAAGAGAAAAGATGATTGAACTGGTCTCGACACCAACTACTGGAGTCTGACAAAGGAAAAAAAGATGACTTAACAGGCTTTTACACCTACTGCTGGAGTCTGTCAAATGAAAAAGATGATTTGACAATCTACTACCTCAACTGCTAGGACTTGACTATGGGAAAAAATGAAAAAAATATACTTGCAAGGTGCATAAAATGTCAAAATGTGTTTCAGTTGACTGATTCCTTTTCTTGTTGTTGAAACTGGACAGTTTCCAATTGTATCATATAAAGAATATTACAAAAACTGCCATAGATCTGTCTGAAAACTGCCTTTAATCCAAACATAAATGTACTGCTTCAGAGGTACTTACAAAAAAAAAAATGTAATTTGTGGACAATGAACAAATACTCTTCCTTAATGGATGTACCTTATCATGCCTCTTTCAAAGATGGAGAAATCCTTACATTTATCTATGTAAACTCAAGTAATCACTTGATATATCACATGATTAATTGATTCTGTATATGTAAACAGTATTTTATTGGTATGTACAAAGTGAGAATCCTCATATGATATATTAGATTGAAACATCATGTGTTTTGCAAAATTTCTTATCAATTTTGTTTTGACATTTTTGTAAAAACTTCAGGTACCTGAAATTATTTATGTAAATATGTCATTTTGTTTCTTGTTTATATATATAAACTTAATTTACCAAAACAAAAAAAAGTGTCTGTACTTTAGTATACAATATAAGTCAACAAGTATTTAGAAAAAACATTTACCATCCTTCATCAACGTCCAGTTATGATCAAGCTGGTGCTCTGCCTGCAGATAATACCTCCCATCTGTCCATAATGCTGCTGCCTCTTCTGTCACAACTGCAACTCCTGTAAGAATGTGTGGAATAAAAAGTCTTTTACTTTATTAATTTAGAAAAATATTCAGTAAATTGTAGCGTTACAAAGAATATTACTACACATAACAGCTTTTCGATAAAAACGTAAAGTGACAACTACTTATGCACAAAAAACAAACACAGAAATGTGCCAGTTAACTGACAGGCCATCATACACAATTATTGATTAATCAGAACAGTTTAGTAATTAAGTAAAGATAACAATCTTTGGTAACTGGTTTTCCTAACAACTAGTATATATGCACCTCCAACATCCCAAAGAATATTTGATAATTAAGTACCTATTTTGTTTAATTTGTTGTGGACACTGTTGTGTAGTAGTATTTATGTGGTGAGTTGAATGAGTAAGTAGAATTGCAGATGATACAATTTTTATGCTTTAGTTTCAATTTTCATTACTTAATCATCAGAAGGTCGTTAATTCTCAAAATAATTTGCAAATACAGAATACTATCTGAAATACACAAAAGTCAACATTCAAATTTACCCAGAAATCAACCCATTTGTTGAAGAACTCTACAATCATGGCAGTGAAATTATGGAAAATTACTATTACATTGCCTCATTAATCTAAAAAATAATTTAAGAGAAAAAAACCTTACTTTTATTTAATGGTCCATAACTAGCATGCATTGTACACGCCTACAATTGTTGATTGAAATGTACATTATTTCATTAGCTAATGTTTTAAAGTTTCATTATTTTTGCAAATAAAAATTCTAAAAAGCTCATTTGCTCATCTTTATCCATTTTCAAAGTGATCAGAGCTAATTATCATCTATTAATAAGGACTGTAGCCAATAATCCTTTAGTTGTTGATTAACTGACATGCTATTTACAATACTTTAAACAAATCTCTAAAAATGTAATTACTGGAATTCTACAAACCTTGATAAACTGCAAAGTGGCAATTTATAAAATTATTAACTTTTAGTTTTCATAATTTGCAATTTGAAAGAAAGTTACAAAACTTCTTAATTTGTCCAGAAAATAACTATCAACAGTGTACAAGACTTCTGCTCCTAAATCATGTGGCTATAGAGTATTATGTTTTGCTTTCCCTTAATTTTTAAAGTTAAAAAAATTCTACAAATTAAAAATAAAATACATAATTCAAAACAGACTAAATACTATATAACAACAAACTGTGTTACAAATTTCCAGTCATTAACTGTTTGGTAGATGTGTTACATTACTCTATCAAGACAATCAATATCTACAATATTAGTACAATAATGTCTATGAAAATTAAAAGTCTAAATGGAATGCAAGGTTAATTTCTAGTCCAGCATGTGAAAATATAATATTGATCTTTATTTATGATAAATTAACTGTGAAAAAATATGTATTTAAATGATTTATCAAACAATCCATAAAGGATTGTTTGTTTGTTGTTAAGCATAAAGCTGTAAAGTTGGTTATTTGTGCTGGGCCCACCACAGGAACTGAACCCCCAAATCTTAACATTATAAGCTCAGCTTACCAATAAGCCACCAAAGGTTCCCCCCCATAAAGACAATGCCTACTTGATGTTTGGTATGCAGTTGGATCTACCTACCTGAACTGCCTGTGAAGCCAGAGACAAATACTCTTCTTTGATCACAGGGTGCTATATATTCACTCTAAATAAATAAATAAGTAAATTGAATGAGCCACAAACTAAATGAGAATCAAGACTCAATGAAGTTAAATTAAATTCCTATTAAATTTTTAAATATTATAAAAAATGATGCATCACACACAATATCTGAAGGTATGCTATCTCAGTCAAACATTGATATATCTTAAAAAAAATCACTATGAATAAACATCTTTGTGATGACAGTGAACCTAGTCATTCCTCTTGAAGAGGAAAGGAAGTAAAAGAATTAAACCTTTGTCAATGCAAATTCTGAATAACTTGCACTTCTCTGAATGTAAAGCTTACCTCAGTTTAAATCATGGTATATGTAAATTAGGTTAAATAGAAAAGACCTTAAGTTTTGGTTCTGGATTGTTATAAATTATCATAATTAACATTTCCTGCATCCACAAACCATGGAACAGATATCAGAGTTTTTCTTTGGTAACTGACAGATAAAGTAGAATCATCTTCATTATTTATTTCACCACCAGAAAATACAATGGTGATCCCAGCTTCTTGTACAACTTACAGATAGTTGTAACTGAAACATTTTTCTTTAAGCTTTCTTTCTAAACAGACTAACTTAATTCTTCTTAAATTAATGCATACCATGTTTGATACTTCACAATAGAAGGTGAATAAACAAAGGATAGTGAAAAACATTAGGTGCTAATCAAATTGGTAGCCAGTAGTTAACTCTTTCAGCACGAGCTCTGTTCCAGGGACAGACCTCGTAATCATTTTGTGCTTGTTTCAAACTTTTAAATTAGGAAGCGAACGTTAACAAAATTTGGCAAATTATCAGTAAACATTACAATGCTTTCATATACAAAATATAATTTTTTTTTATATAAAGTCTTAAGGTTTGTAAAGCAATGTTTTTCTCATGTCTATTTTTTCTTTTCACATGTTACCTATTTATCATGCAAAGTAATATTCATTTTAAGATTAAAAATACTTTTATACATCAGAAAATTTTGAAATTTCACATGCAAAATCTTTATAATGTTGAGATAGTTATCAAATGTTTCTTAAGAAAAAAGTTAATATTTTATCTGTTATTTTCAGTAATTAATCTATGTACGGGTTCGGTAAATTTGACCGATCTCACAATCACCATCAAAAATTAGGAAATAAATATAAATTATGCCTCTTTCATTCTAGAATGAACACAAATTATAAAACGAAAACATAAATGTTTATACTAAATAGCTTAAATCTCATAACATTATATATTTATAAATATTTATTATACTGACCTTTCAGCTATGCCTGACTAACAATACAGAAGTTACAATGATGTAGCTCATGTGCAGTCATGTTACTGTATCAAATAACATAAAACTGACCTTTGGTCTATACAAAGTAACTTGTCTTGGCTGTGTTTTAGTCGACTAGTATTTTGTAAAATACAGTCACATTTCAATTATTATACATTATATATGTATACAGATTATTGCTATTTTGAAATAAGTTCTTAAAGTTATTTTTTCTAAAACATAGAACAGTAAATGAAGAAGTAAAGCAAACAATTATCTCTTCTAGTTACGACCTTTGTACTCGGTTGCTGCCTGAAGTAGGTTGCTAAGCCTATAAAAATTTTGCACATGGAGGATATGAATCAAAATATTTTTTTTAGATTTTATATATATATATACACACACACACACTAAAAAATCATAAATTACTATATCAATACCATAGAATTCCACTATAATTTATCAACCTTAGTAACTAAGCTGTAAAAAAAATGAAATTTCAAGCAGACTAAAGACATAACCAACCTCATTGAAATCTTGGTTGAAGAGAAAGAAGTGGCACTAGGTACA